GGACCAACAATGTAATTTTACCATTAAGATTTTGAGAATTATAATAGCAAGACTCATGATGTTAGGATGCCTATGATTGGAAGGATAATAGTTGGCTCTTCCTATAAAGTTGGGGGATTTTTATGAATTCCTTTAATATAGAGGGATGATAATGGCTCTTTTTACAAAGTTAGAGGATTTTTAGTGGCATTAAGTCTTATCTTTATCCCCTCACCAATTGTATTCATTTTCATTTAATTTTTTCCCCTAAAAAACTTTCCCTTGTGATTTTGTTTTGCAAGCTAGGCGACTCCTTTTCTACTGAAATAATAGTCATATTAAATCTGCTATTAACGACCTTCACTTTTCTTATAGAACATCCTATCCTTACTCTGGCATTTTATCATAGTGTCTATATATTGTGTAATGATGATGTCACGTGCTGTAACATTAGTTGCAACTATTAGCCTCAAAGGAGAAGGTGGTTTCAACTTAGGTACACACCACCATGAGTAAAATCTTGTAGACAATCACCTTACTAATATGTTCATTAGCTATAATTTTCCTGCTTTCAATTAACAAACCATATATCACCTTATTATGCTTGCCCATATGGCTCTTCTTCGTCACACACCATATTTGCACCTAGAATCAAGACTTAAACCAACCATTATTGCCCATTACTAACTATGCATATCCAATTCTAATTTTTTTTACATAAATTTTTGCTACTTTTATTCATATAACATAAGAAATTACATCCTTATACAAGTACTTCATCAGTTATTACGACTTTTGAATTATAGCATGGTACTACCTCTATTTATTGAACAGGGAGATATAGTAGGATGTTGTCCCTCTTTTAGGTAAATTATTTATAGTGATTTTGTCCATTTTTGTCTAAAATATGTTTTAATTTAGAGAAAAATCTTGTATGAAATCAATCATAAATTGCATTGAAAGTTTACTTGTTTAAAATAATTACTCTGTTAAATGTCTTATTTGCCTTTCCTTTTCATTTTTATCCTTTATACTCTAGGATAGTTTTCGGCAATAGAAAAAAATTGATTAAAAGATTAAGAGAAAAAATAAAAAATCAATGCCAATTTTTTTTTTTTTTTGTAAAACTAACACTATAGCACAAATGAAGACAAAAGAAAGAAAGAAAGAAAGAAACTGAAGCATAAATGTTATCAATTCATTTTTTGGTTAAAACCCCAATTTCATCCCTTTACTTTGGCAAAAAGCCCCTTTTTAGTCTCTTTACTTAAAAAAGCTCCTTTTTTATCCCTAAAGTTTGAAATTTTGTTAAGTTTTGACGTTAGATAATGGAAATTTCAAAGAAGGTAGACAAAAAAAGAGACCTTTTTCCAAAGTAGAGGGACCAAATTGAGGTTATTTTTAGCACATTTCTAGCCCCTTTTTGATTCCTTTACTTTGAAATTTTTTGTTATCTAATGTGCCACATATGCAAAATTTAACGGAGGGACTAAAAAGGGGTTAAATTTCAAACTTTAGGGATTAAAAAGGAGCTTTTTTAAGTAGAGAGACTAAAAAAGGGCTTTTTGCCAAAGTAGAGGGACCAAAATGGATATTTAACCTTTTTTTTTGGTACAATGGAATGATAACTAAGTTTTAAGACATGGGAAATAGAATTCCCAAAGCATTAGCCAATAGGATGTGACTCAAACCAGTCAGTGGAGACCTAAGAACGAAACACCTTATAAAGTTGAGTGAACTAGTGAAGTTGAGTGACCCAGTGAGGGTAAATGTTCTACTACTACAGTTCCCTCTTGGAGGGTATGGCAAAGTTCACAGAGCAAAAAAGTACTAATAAAACTTATCTTTATTTGAATCCTTTTCCTCAATGGAAAAACCATTGCCAAAATAATTGAACTTGTTCAACATATTTAGATTTGCTTGTAAATGCTAAAATATAATTTCTCAAGATTTAGGTATGGAAGGCATTATGAGCTTTTTAAAAATGTCCTAATACACTTACAATAAATTTGATTGATATTTTTTCACTCATGTAAGATAATAAAGTTGGGTGTGGGTCTCAACATATCTATCCCTTAGACCCTCCAATTCCCACCATCTTTGTTCCCTTCTCGTCCATGGTTGAACCATTTCTTCTCTATTCCTTTGTCTTTTTCTTGGTTTAAAACTCTATTCTGGTCTCTATACCTTGAAAAAATATTCCTTTTTGATCCTTATATCTTAAAAAGTTCCCTTTTTGTCCCCCACATTTGTTTTTTAACCCTTTTTAGTCCTTTTGTTAAATTTTTGTTGCCATTGCATGTTAATTAATGGAAAAGACTTGATTTCTTTTTTACATTAATTACATGAAAAATCCACACAATCAAAAATAATGATGTAGATAAAATTACAAATCTATATCAATATTTCATAAAAAATATCTTGCGCCCACTTGCAAAAAATCAAATTTTCTTTGCTTAATTTATGAATTAAAAAACAATTAACTTTAATCACTAGTTAATTGAATTTAATTACCTATTAATTGACTTTAATTAAATGTTTAACCAAAAAGAAAATAAAATTTAAGAATTTCTTTTTTTGTTCTTCTAAAATCATAACACTTAGATTCCCTATTGCAAATTCAATATTGTGAACCTATTAATTTAGATTTCAACATTATCTTTGTTTATTCTTCAAAATCAACACTCACTGCAATATCAATTGTCGCAACAAAATTATATTCTTAAGGGTTGTTTGTGTGTGAAATTAGTTGAGAGGGTAATCTATCACTACTCGAAAAGTTTAGGGGGGTAATATAAATGTTTTGCCTAGCAATCACATGCTTCTTGTCGGTTCTTGCTCACTTTGTCCTTAAAGTTAATGGGTGGATAGTTTGGGGCTTAAATAATGTTAAACTAAGTTTGGTGGGCTAAATTTAAAGTACATAGTTATTCAAGGATTATCTGATGATTATTTTAGAAGTTTTAGGGGATATTCACATTACATACAATATGGTTTGATGTGAAAGGATCTTGAACTCACGATGATACATACAAACTTTAACCTTATATTAGATAGGCAAATCATGCAAATCACCCACTGAACATATTGATCAATTTTAAAGCAGCCCTTCTGACAACCATGATGTTAAATTAAACTTTTTTGCTTTTTGTTGACATGACATTCTAGTTCTTGAACTTAATATTCTTTGGATCTTTTAGTTCTTGAATTTATATTTGTTTTGAAAACATCTCTTATTTTTATATTGCTAAATTTTTTAATTTTTCTAAAGTTAATGCTTTACAAACTTTATAGACATATCTTTCCCATAGTAACTCATCAATTTTATAAGGAATCATTCCTTCTTCTTCTATGATCTTAATTATTAAATTAATCTAATGATCGTAGAATCTTATTAGCTCTTTTAATTCCACTCTTAACAACATTGTTTTTTTATGGCTTTGATACCAAAATTTTTATGGGGATTTTAGAATCTAACTCAAACTACAAACTAATGTGTAGCTGGTATGTTAAGTTCAGTAAGTGTCGAATCAAATTTACTAAGTTGTGAGTAAAGATAGTCTTTACTTAGCTTGTTTGAGTCTTTTTAACTCTTCATTTAAATTTGCTACTGTTCGCTTTAACTTTTTGAGATTCTTGAAGAGATAGTAATCATCTATACCTTCAATATTACTTATTTTTTCTAAAATATTTACTATTTTATTTCTATAATATTTACATTGTTGCTCATAAACCACTTTATCTATAATTATTTCTTGAATGAAGTCAAGCATCTTAAAGTACTATAAATAAGTTTTTAAGATGAGCTTTTCTATTTGAAATATAAGAGGTTAGAAACTATTTCCCTTTTATTTCTAATCTCAAGAATAATAATGTCAAATGATAATAGGAATATTTCAATGCCCACCTAGCTTCTGCATGATAAAAAGAATGAGTTAAAATTATACTTGAAAATCTCTTAGTCTGGCCTTTGGTCTAGTTGATGCTCCCTTCGTTCAACCCTCAATTCCACACTCTAGTTACCACAAGTATTCAAACTAGACAAGAAACCTCACTGTTGCCTAAGTATCTTTAGGGATTATTCTCATTGTTTTCTATAATGGAAATTAGGAAGGATAGAAGCATGGGAATTATCCTAAAACATGTTTTTATTCCCAAGAAGAGAAAGGGAAGGTTCCCTTTCCTTTTGAAAGGTGTGGTTCCCTTTACTTTTGAAAGGTGTTTACAGATACATGATGGAAGGCACTGAAGTAAGGTATTTGGATATTCAAATGCCCATACCTATTACAGCCTGTAAGGGGCTTTTTATAATGCTTTTTCGAATCTTTTCTTTCGTCATTGCTAATGTTAAAAGTTTCAATTATTGTTTGGTGATCCATACTTACATTTTGCTTTTGCTAAAATAGATTACATGGGATCTCGCCAGCACTATTTTTTCTCTTTAGTGCCATACAAGCTTTCATCTTATTGGATTTTTCAGAGGATGATGAGATCTTTTTCACTGTCTAAGGGGGTGATTCATTCATCAATGCTGCTTCAGCCTTTTCTTTTGTAGATTCTTTTTTGTAACAGATACCACATTGATTGTCATGCTTTAATAGCTTGCAAAGTCTATAATAAACTGCTTTACTAGCTTGAACCAAATTCTCAAAGATTTCTTTTCTTTTTTGCTTTATTTTGAATAGGCTAACGCTTGTTGATAATCTAGCTCTAGTAGATACCACCGAAATTTCATTAGAGAAGCCATCAGTCCATGTTTTTCTCATGTCTATCATTCTGTCCAAGGTTTGGAGCAAAACCTTGAATCTTAGAACCCTTCTTTCTTGGATGAACTCAATTCCATAAAGATATTCTTTGAAATCTTGAAAGATTTGATCTTCATTTGCTTTTATTTTAATCTTCTTGGATTGAATTCCAATCTAAACTATATGGTAACTAGTATAATATTGAGACTTCTCCCATTTCGGTGCTTGTCACGCCCCAGAACCCAAATCCGGGGACGCGACAGACGCCGTGCACTCGTGAGACGGGTCCCACAAGTGCACAAGGCTCAGAACTTATTCAAATCACATCTGATACCACCAAATCTCAAGATAAAATTTTTTACAATTTGCTATGATATCATAAAATCTCCAAATACACTCTAACTTACAGGATCATAATCTGTATCTAAAATCTATATCAAATTCCAGGTGACTAGCCTTCTAATTCGTCACTACCCTCGGTTTCCCTCGTCCTCAGTATCGCTTCCTAAAATGGTGAACAAGGAAAACTATGAGATAAATTCAATAAGTAAATATGGATAGCCCTTAGGTAAAACTTTTAACATGCCAGATAAACCATGTAAACATAGCAAAACTTTCACTGATAAACCGTTAATGCGGAAATCAAGTTCAGTTCAATAGCAAAACGTTCAATGACAAAACCGTTACTGCAGAATCAGATTCAGTTCAATAACAAAACATCTCATAACAAACCGTTAATGCTGAAAAAAACTCAGTTCAGTAGTCTCATCTATAAGTCATGGCCAGGGTTATAACAACCCACTGGCAGGCGACAGAAATTTGCCAATGTATTCGCCCAGTGGCAGGCGTCAAAATAAACCGGTCATATCAGTAAATATGTCGACATGTGCTAGCGTTACACCCACTAGCAGGGATCAGGAGTGCCAGCGTTACACCCACTAGC